TTCACATAATCCACCTTGGGACCCACCTACATCAATAGGGCAGGACCTTATGACCACCACCCATAAGTGAATCACACACACACACACACACACACACACACACACACACACACGCATCTGTACACATTTTCCCATCGGAACCTGGGGCCATGAAAGCAGACCCCTGAGTCTGCAGGAAGTAGGAGGGGCAGAATCCTCAGAGTATGATTCTGAATCCTGGGGGCAGGGACAGCAGCCAGGACCCCCAGCCCCTCCCTGCCAAGGCCAGCAGAAAGGAGAGTGTCAGGTGCGGTGGGAAGGCTCTCCGCGTTGAAGTTCCTCCAGTCCTTTATGGGCCTCCTGCCCTCTGGCCCCCCTAGTGACTGGGTAGCTGGCATGACGCGGGCTGATGGCCATCCGCTTCCCTGACCCCATGCCCTGCCAGGAAGAAGCTCTGTCTCCTCACAACCCCCATGGTCATGCTGTGACCCCGAGCAGACGCAGGAGCAGGAGAGGTGAGTCCCCAAACTCAGCCTCTAAAAGCGAAGCTTCCAGGGGGTCTTGGCTCAAGCCAGAGGGGACTGTGCTCCTGCACAAGGCAAGGTAGCCTCCTGCCTTGCTGGCTGGTGGGAGCCGGGCCTAGGGAGCTTGCTAAGCACCGTCCAGGCACTAGGGGAGCCACACACATAGCTAGGGCAGGGGAACCCTCCTCTCTTCCTGCACTCCCAGGCATTCTGAGTGGGGGACCATTTTCCAAGATGAAAATTCCACCAGTTCCAAGACTGGGAAACGGTCGGTGACCCTGTTGGGCTGGAGGTTTCTCTTCCTGCTTGCAGTGGAACCCAGGGCCACGAGGTGGCGCACAAGCCCGGCCCTGCACCCTTGCCAAGCCCGCACGGCCGACCGCCCGGGACCCGCTGCCCGGGACCTTCTTCCACTGTGCATTTCTGAGCGTGATCCTTCCACCACCAGATAAAAGGAAAAACACGATTACCCCCAGGATCACCACTGCTTTACCACTGCCTTCTCGCGGTTGGTTTGGGTTTTCCACTGTTGGGGATGAAACCCAGACCTTCATAGGTGAGATTGCATTTTGCCCCTGAGCTAGGTCCTGGAACTCTTTTCTTGTATTCCCCCTTCTTTTTTTTTCACTTTGGGCAGGCCATCTTGGATGCTGGAGGTTAAACCCTGGGGCGGCCCACATGTAAGATGAGCGCCCTACCCACTGTACTACCCACTTGCTCCAGCCCTGGCAAGGAATCTTTGGAATCACCACTTCTCCGCCAATAACAACAGTTGTCCACTCAGTGTATAAACTGTGATGTCATGTGCATATAGGTATCTTATAGGCTCATCCCCAGGGCCTCACACAGGCAAGTGTAAAACATGTTTACTTGGACCTTATGTGACAAATTATAAATATATGGCAACTTAGAGATAACTAAGCTTTATATAAAATAACCTATTGCACATATATATAACTTATGAAATGCATTAAATATTATAGGGGCTGGAGAGATCATACAGTGAGTAAGGGCACTTGTCTGGAATGTGAACGACTGGTTTTGATCCTGGCATCCCATATGATCCCCTGAGTACTGCCAGGAGAAATTCTTGAGTGCAGAGCCGAGACTAACCCCTGAGCATTGCCAGGTGAGGCCCCCAAAACAAACTATATAAAATCTACAATAGGAGGTTTGTTACCTGTGATATATAATTATATTCATAAACACTTACTACTCTGTGAGCATGTCATTGGCCCTATTTGTGTTGTTGATTTTTTTCCCCCCTGCCCAAGGTTGAGGCAGCCTTGGGCCTCTCAGCCTCTGCTTTCTGTCAGACCACTTCCCTGGCCTCTAACTCTCAGCTATCGGTGGGCATTTTGTTTTCTCCAGAAAACAAATGTCTTCTCCATTTTGTTTTAGCTATTACCATCAAAGGTGACCTTAGGATGTCTGGTTTCAATTCACATTTCTAGAGCCCAATTAAGAAAGCTACATTTTTGTTTGTTTTGGTTTGGGGGCTTCACCTGGTTGTGCCCAGGGCTTATAGATGGTGCAGTGCTCAAGGGCACCAAACGTGGTACCAGAGATTCAACCTGGCCCAGCCCACATGAAACAAGTGCTATACCCAAACAGAGCTATATTTTTGGTAGGCCGCCTGTTTTGTTTCATTTTTAGTGAGGTTACAACAGCTGATTTATAAAAAACAGCTTTTGTCGTGTTTCCACGGTGCTCGTGGATTCCTTCCTGCTTGTGAGCATGACCCAGCTTCCACAGCTCTGTCAGGCCGATGGAAACACAGGCTACACCCTTCTGCATTACTGCTCCTGCAGGTGTGGCTCCCGTCAGGGGAGGCAGATGGAAGCGCAGATTGCAGAGTCGTGTCACTCAAAGAGGACAAACATTTGGAAACAGGCCTGTGGCTGGAGTCCTCAGGAGCACTTGGAGAATGGAAGACGCTGACACCACTGCCAACTGGCGTTGGCATCCTCCTTCAACCCCGAGGCCTCTGATGCATCAGTCAGATGTATAACTGAGGAGACAGGGATGTTTGATAAATTCACTGCTCCCAAAGTGTGGGCAGTGGTGTTTTCTGCACATGTGCCATAGAAACATTTAACATAAGACGTGTATCATGCCCAATGCTCTCCACGGTAGCAACCATCTCTATGGTTTATTTTTTCGGTTTGTTTTGTTTTTTGGGCTACACCCGGTGACGCTGAGTCTGCACTCAGGAATTACTCCTGGTGGTGCTCAGGGAAACATATGGGATGCTGAGGATTGAACCCCGTCAGCCGCATGCAGAGCAAGTCCCCTACCTGCTGTGCTATCACTCTGGTCCTCATCACTAAGATTCATTTATTTTTATTTTCAAATATTTTCCTTTTTGGGTCTCACCCAGTGATCCACAGGAGTTATTCCACTGTGATATTCATGGGTCCTTCCAGCTCAGTGGGGATGGTCCTGGCTGTGTCTCACGGGTCACAGGCCTGCGTGCAAAGCCTGGGTTCCAGCTCTTAGAGTTGTTCGACCCAGGGCTTGCAGCCAAGGCCTTACTTATGCCAAGCAAGTACTGTGATGCTGACCAACCACCCAAACTGTTGTTCTCTAACTGGAGACTGTGGCCCTGAGTCCTTTGTTCATGCCCCTTCTACGTTTCTGCTCTGCTGGCAAGCAATCTGCACTCTAAAGCAGACTTTTTTTTTTTCAATTTTAGGTTATAACAAATAAAGAATAATCCAATGGCATGCAGGCTTGAGTGTCTTTGGCTGCTCGAAACCCTCTCTGACATCCCACTCCCACAGTAAGCACCAGGGAACTCAGAGGGACCCAGGTACTTACTAGGGTCTGCTTCAGACATGGGGGAGCCAGGAGTGGGCAGTGAGGGACAGGAGGAGCCATTCTGGAGGCTGTGGGAATAATCCCCAACAGCTCTGGGGGGAGCTCAGCAGTCCTTCCTGAGGGGCTCCACCTGACTTCACAGACAACCTCAGTCTCTCAAGCTCTGTGGTCTTGGGCAAGTTCCTTAGCCTCTCTGGACTTTTGTGTCCTTTGCAACACAAGATAACAGCACTCCTCTTTACTGGCAAAGTGGCTGGGGTGGCCTTTTTATGGGTTTCGTCCTTGTATGGGCCACACTGCGGTGTTCTCGGGTTAGTTACTCCTGGCTGTGCTTGGGGAACCATATGGGATGCCAGGGATCGAACGTGGGTTAGGTTGGTAGCGTGCAAGGCAAAGATCCTATTGGCTGTGGTCCCTTTGATGTCGGTGGGCCCCACGGGTGACTTATGTGAAGCGGGGAGGAGAAAGACAGTCACTTTCTCCCCACCCGCCTCAGCCACTCGGGACCCAGGGTTGCTGGGTTCTTGTCTCGCCTCGCAGAAAGGAATTTCAGGAGTAGACAAGCAGTGAAACAAATAGATTTTATTTGGAGGATTTTTAGGTGCGGGGTGGGGGGGGGGAGAGAGAGAGAGAGAGAGAGTAAAGTTAGACGTGAAAGCATGAAAGTACACATCTCAAGAGTACCACATGTGCTCGGCCACGTGGGCACAAGCAGCACATGGGCTCGGGCAGCATATGCCTGCCCTTCCTTTGTTCAAGGTGGCCTTTATAGGGTTTCTCCAGCCTGTCCCCACCTGAGGCCTCTTTCCAGGTAAAAGTCCGTTGCTAAGGAGGTCACCAGGGAGGTTCAAAAAGAGGAATTTCATGGGGAGGCCTATATCCTGAGGGTCTGCGATGGTCTTATCAGGCCTTTGTTTTCTGTATCCACAAGGTGGGTCATTCCTAGAATTCTTCTCCCATGAAACTTTGTTTCATTGCAAAGGGCCTTTCCCTATCTATCTGCCTACATCACCTTGGGTGGTTTTCCTGATTGCTGCTGGACTTTTACTAAGTTTGCATTTATATGTGCTGCCGCGGTTGAGGTGGTCGGTAAAATACAGAAGAGCCGTTCTGGTGACTGCTGGAAGGATCCACAGCTCTCACCGAGCGTCGAGCTGGATGGAGCGGGCTCAGAGGGCGCTAGCCAGTCCCTGGACGGAGCATGGGGCAGTGAGGAGGCGGAGGACAACTGTTCTTGCTCCACATTGCGGCTGGACCGCTGCCCGAGGAATGACTTCATGGAAGGCAGAAGCGCAGCGGTGCAACCCTGGAGGCAGCCCCCGCCAGAGCCACAGTGAGAGCGGCCGGACCCGCCCTGGACGAACCGCTGGCTGACGTGGGGAGTGTTCCCAGACACCGGAAGACGGCGGACAGGAATACTCGGCTTCCCTGGGCCGACATCCCGGCTGTGCGACGCCGGCGACAAAGGTCACAAGCATCGCGGCCGCTGCTCTGGAAGGGGACCGGGCCCGAGCGCGCCGTGGCCTCCGGGCGCGCGGGCCAGGAGCGGCTGGGGGCGTGGCCACGGGCAGGAGAGCCAATGAGGGGCGGGGGGTGGGGCCGGCGCCAGCTCTGCGCACGCGCACCAAGCCCGGCCCGAGCGCCGCGGCCGCTCCCCCGCGTCACGTGACACGAAGGGCGCCGAATTCTTCTGGACTCAGCGCCATTTCCTATAGGTGAAGGTCCAAGGGCTCTGGCGGGAAGGTTCGGCAAGCATCCTGATGCCATTGGACCTAAAACTGCCACCTCGGGTCGGGATCAGGCTGGGGCTCGTGCCCTTGTGAGGGGGGAGCGCCTGACTGCGCCTGGCGAGGTGACGTCACGGGGCCGGAGGTGACGTCACGGGCTGGGCTGAGGTTCGGGGCTTCCCGGCGGCCCTCTGAAGCGGTGGCAGCTGTTCCGCGGGGATTGTGGTGGTTGGTGACGCCGGTGATACCCGAGACCCCAGTTCGTAGGGGGCGTGACCCGAGCCCTTGGGGGCGTGGCCCTACGATCTTTTGCCACTCGAGGGGCGTGGCCTCGCGAAAAGCGCTTGCGGGGCCGGGCGGAGGGTGGGCGGGAATCGGCTGAGCGAGGGGCGTGGCCCTTCCGGTGACACTTTTGCCTGGTCCAGCTCCTGCTGCTGATTTTCCTTCCTCAGGCGCTCGCTCATGGAGACTCCTGCGTCCACCGGCCCTGCTGGGAGCTTCCTCTCCTCCTCTCTGCTCCTGGCCTTCGGCGGCACGCTCGTGGCCGCCCTGCTGGGCGCTGCTTACCACCTGGGGCTCATCTATCAGTTGGTGCATAAGGTGTGTTAGGGACCACCCTGCCCCCCCCCTCCCCCCCCCCCTGTCCAGGGAGGCCCGGGACCACCAGCGCTGGACTGGGTCCCTGGCCACCCCTGCACCTGAGGCAGGGGAGAAGGGCCCGCGGGTGGGGAGGTCGGTGGCCCTTCCCCCAGTGCCCAGTACCTGGGGCGCCCTGGACTTTGCCATTAGGAAGAGATAGTGGAGAAGCTGCAGTCCGGGGCACCCCGCCCAGCTCCTTCCCCTCTGCCAGCCATGCCCAGCCTCACACATTCTAGGTGTGCCCTCTGTCATCGAGTCTCATCCCCACCTTCCAGGACACTCTTTTTACAGAGCATCACCCCCTAACCCCAGTGGGAACAGAGTGGGCTGTAGGTGGGCTGGAGATAGCTCCACTGTTGGGCTTCGATTATCTTTCTGAGTTTCATTTTTGTGTTTGGAGCACCGTGATTTTACAGTACAGTACAGTACAGTGATCAGGTTTCCCAAGTACACCAAGTTTAGTGCTTTAGAGGAAATTTTCCTGAGTCTCTCTCAAGCCTCTGGAAGTAGGGGCTCTGCGTTTACTTGTGTACTCCGACTGTGTGCTCACTTACCTTAGAGCGCCCTTCTGGGGGACCTGGCCCCACTCTGAAGACCCGTGGGCCTTCAGGCCCCCTCTCCAAGTCCTTCCTTTGCAAGCTGGGACCACCCTTGATGGGCCAATTGGGTGCCATTGCCCATTGGAGTAGCATCTCCAGCCGTAAGGCCTGTGCCTGTCCATGGCTCTGTGCTCTCGCTGGGACACCGAGGAGGGTGTGGCTGGGGTGGCTGTTGTACAGGCTGCCTGTACCCCTGCCGATGTGCCCAGCTAAGCCTAGTCCACCAGGTTCTCTGGCTTTTCCCCCCCATTGCCCCACCCTTTGAAGTGGGCACCATGGAGCCTGCTTCCTCTGGATGCCGAACCCCGCTCGGACAAACCTCACCTCAGCTAAGAGAGGGTCTCGGGCGCACCCTGTCCCGCGACTCTGCGCCCCACCACTCTCCCTGTGTGCCAGCCATCATTATGCTTTTTTTCCTCGGGCTCAGGTGGACAAGGACAGTGTCCAGCATGGTGGGGAGCTGGTGGCGGCTGTGCTGAGGGCCCATGGCGTGCGGTTTCTCTTCACGCTGGTTGGTGGACACATCTCTCCGATCCTGGTGGCCTGCGAGAAGCTGGGGATCCGTGTGGTGGACACCCGCCATGAGGTCACCGCTGTCTTTGCCGCTGATGCCGTGGCCCGCCTGAGTGGTGAGGACAGAGGGGGTTGGGGGCTGGTCGGCCCTTTGAGGGAATGGGTACAGCTGTCTTGTGTCTGTCTCAGGGACGGTGGGTGTGGCCGTGGTGACAGCAGGCCCTGGGCTCACCAACACCGTGACAGCCGTGAAGAATGCTCAGATCGCGCAGTCCCCTGTCCTGCTCCTGGGCGGGGCCGCCAGCACCCTGATGCAGGTACCCTGGCGGGGACACACCCCAGGGACCCTGGGGGGTGTGGCAGTCCCTGGAGAGCCTCTGGTGCTCAGATGTGACTCCTTGGACCCTTGTCTTTGCCAGAACCGGGGGGCGCTCCAGGCCATCGACCATATGTCCCTGTTTCGGCCTCTCTGCAAGTTCTGTGCCTCGGTGTGGAGGGTGCGCGACATCGTGCCCACCCTGAGGGCCGCCCTGGCTGCTGCCCAGTCAGGCACTCCAGGTAGAAGGGTTGCTTGAGGGTCATTGGCCCGGGCTGGACGTGCAGATGTACAGCTTCCCTGTCCCTACAGGCCCTGTCTTCGTGGAGTTGCCCATCGATGTGCTATACCCCTATTTCCTGGTCCGGAGGGAGATGGTGCCCAGCAAGCCACCCAAGGACCTCATGGGTCACCTGGTATTCTGGTGAGCGGCCCCTCCCTCTCTGACACCCTCACACCACGTCCACGCCCCAAACCAGGCCCCTGCATGGGACTCCTGGCAGCAATGAGTCAGCGGCCTAGGGACTGTCACAGCCCTGCTGTCCAGTGCTCAGTCCTCAGGGCTCTGTGGCTCTGTGACAGCTGGGGGCTGGAAGTGTGTCACCCCTTTCTGGGAGTGACAATGAGTGCAGGAGGGCAGGGCCGCTGGGCATGGAGGCTGCTCACCGGGTGATGGCAGACCCGGGACTGCAGGGGTCCCTTGTGTGCTCAGAGCCACAGAGCTGGCTTGAGGGTCTGTGACAGGGTGGGTGGTCAGCAGAAGCAGTAGGGAGATGCGGGGGGGTTTGCAGCCAGGGGGCCTTGTCCAGGGGCCCTCACCCTACTCCCCATCACTCCTGGTGACCCTCTTCATCTCCCCTTCCCAGGTACTTAGGGAATCACCTTGCCAACCTTTTTGCTGGAGCCTGGGAGCCACGGCCCGTGGGGCCTCTGCCCCTGGACATCCCCCAGGCGTCCCCCCAGCAGGTGACTCCCCTTATCCTGCCAGGGACCTCCACGTGGCAGAACGGCATCTCTCCACGGGGGCTGTGGTCTCCCTCGTCGCTGAGGGTCGGCCCTTTAAACCCCACCTCCCCCCCAGGTGCAGCGCTGTGTGGAGATCCTCAGCCGGGCCAGGAAGCCCCTGCTGGTGCTGGGGAGCCAGGCCTTGCTGCCCCCAACCCCCGCCGACAAGCTACGGTGAGAGGTCTCAGCTACCCTCACCTTGGTCCCCGGGGTCTGGGGGGTGGGTGGGGACACTCACCTCTGCCCTGCCTGGCCCCGCAGGACAGCAGTGGAAACCCTGGGTGTCCCTTGCTTCCTGGGCGGCATGGCACGGGGCCTGCTGGGCCGCAACCACCCGCTGCACATCCGGCAGAACCGCAGTGCCGCCCTCAAGAAGGCTGACGTGGTCCTGTTGGCAGGTGAGTCTCGCTCCCTCCCGGACCGCCCCTGCTCCCTGCCCTGTGTGTCAGCTCTTCGTCCCGTACCCCCCTCCTGGGGCCCACCCTCTCCCTCTAGGGATTGGGACCAGTGTGAGGCCCTCAGGTCAGAGATGCTTGGTGGGTGCGCCACATCCTCCCAGGTGTTCCCGCCGCCCAATCAGTCCCCTAAAGAGTTCGAGTCCTGCCAGATGCGGCCGCTTGTGCCCTTTAGCTGCTGCTATGGGGACCAGCTCCTGTTGGGTTGGCGGGGCCCTGGTTGTATGGTATGGCCTCAGCTGGACAGTGAGACTGTCACACCTCCTTCTCAGCCCCCCGAATCCTGGCCCCCAGCAGGCAAGCCTTGTGCTGGGTGATGGAGGTGAGTGGCTGCTTCGAGGCCCCTAGGGGCCCAGCTCTGGCACCTGCGGCTCCCGTGCTCTGCGGCCCACACACAACTCAGGGCAGCTGGGCTGGGCTGCATGGCCTTTGCCGGTGGCCGAGAGCTGGAGGGTGAGGGGTCTGGGGGACAGGAAGAGAACAGCAACCCCACCCACTCGCCCCCCCAGGAGCCGTGTGTGACTTCCGCTTGTCCTATGGCCGTGTGCTCAGCCGCAACAGTCAGATCATCATCGTCAACCGGAACCGGAAGGAGATGATGATGAACTCAGACATGTTCTGGAAACCCCAGGAGGCTGTGCAGGGTGCGTGTGCTCCCCACGTGTCCCGTGGCTACTCTTCTGGTCCTCTCCTCCAGACACTTGCTGACTTGAGCAGGCGCCCTGCCCCAGGGAACCCCCCCATCCTCCAGATCCTCGGAGCTCTCAGATGGAAGCGTTGGGAGCGTGCTTCGGTCTCTGCCCCGCCTGGCCCCACCGTGTGCCTTCCTGCTCTGCTCTGCAGGGCTCCCCACTGCATTTGCAGTGTGCCTTTCTGGCCAGCACGTTGGGGTGGCATCGTTGAATTGTCTCAGGGAGGGTCTGGCTAGCAGCGGATGGGCAGTGAGTTGGTGCTGGTAATGGGCCCAAGACAGGAAGGACAGGCTGGAGCATGCGCTCCTGTGGCCACAAGTCCATGTGTGCAAAGTGCTGTGTCCCCTGCCCACTGGCTCTCGGCTCCTACAAGGCTGGTGGAGATGAGGGGTGGACAGAGCTATCTGTGGTTGCGTGATGCCGGTGCAGAGCTCGCTGAACCCCAGCTGTTGCTCGGGCCAAGTCCGTCCTCCCGTGCTGCCGCTCCAGGTTTCTGTGGCTCTGACATGTCTTGCCCGGTTGGTCCTGAGAGGCCTGTCCCTCCCGCTGGGATCCACTTGCTTCCTGCTGTGTGTGGGTCCCCATCCTGCAGCCGTGCCCTCTCCCTTCTCCAGGAGACGTGGGCACCTTCATGCTGAAGCTGGTGCAGGGCCTTCAGGGCCAGACCTGGGCCTCAGACTGGGCTGAAGAGCTGCGGCAAGCTGACCGGCAGAAGGAACAGACCTTCCGGTGGGGCTGCAGGAGTGGGCAGGGCTGGGCTTTGTGGCCAGCCTGCTGCTGCCTGCTGACCGCCTGACTTGGTACAGGGAGAAGGCGCTGCAGCCCGTAGCCCAGCACCTGAACCCTATCCGGGTGCTGCAGCTGGTAGACGAGGCCTTGCCTGAGAACTCGGTTCTGGTAGTGGACGGCGGGGACTTTGTGGGCACTGCTGCGCACCTGGTCCAGCCCCGAGGACCCCTGTGCTGGCTTGACCCTGGTAAGGAAGCAGCCCCTTGGATAGGAACATGGGCTTTGGGTGCTCCGCACTCACCTGCCCTCCCCCCATTTCCTAGGGGCCTTCGGGACTCTGGGAGTCGGTGCTGGGTTTGCACTTGGGGCCAAGCTCTGCCGGCCTGAGGCCGAGGTGAGTTGGGCATGGGAGGTAGGGAGGAGGCCACCCGGTGGGTTCGTACCTCCCAACCCTCGTTCCCTGCAGGTGTGGTGCTTGTTTGGGGATGGAGCCTTTGGCTACAGCCTTATTGAATTCGACACCTTTGTCAGACACAAGGTGAGCGGCTACCCCAGGGAATTGGTTTTTTTTTGGGGGGGGGGGTTACACCTGGTATTGCACAGGAGTTACTCCTGGCTCTGCACTCAGGAATTACTCCTTTGGTGGGGACCATATGGGATGCTTGGAATTGAACCCAGGTCAGCAGCGTGCAAGGCAAACGCCCTTCCCACTGTGCTATTGCTCCAGCCCCCCCAGGGAATTCTAGATGTTGAGGCAGGCCAAGCTTTGGGGTGAGGCAGCTGGGTGGCCTGGCCTCCTCTCTGTTTGCAGGTCCCAGTGATAGCCCTGGTTGGCAACGATGCTGGCTGGACACAGATTTCCCGAGAACAGGTGCCCAGCCTGGGCAGCAACGTGGCCTGCGGCCTGGCGTTCAGTGGTGAGGGGACCGGCCAGGGTGTGTGTGTGGGCAAACTTGGCTTCCCTCCATGACACCATCTGACTGTGTCTCCCCTTTTAGATTACCACAAGGCGGCCATGGGGCTGGGGGCCCAGGGCCTGCTCCTCTCACGGGACGAGGATCAAGTGTCACAGGTGCTGCAGGAAGCCCAGAAGCAGTGCCAAGGGGGCCACCCCGTGGTGGTCAACATCCTCATTGGAAGGACCGACATCCGTGACGGCTCCATCTCTGTGTAGGGGCTAGTGCCCAGCTGCTGTGGGGACCTGGGACCTGGAGAGCTCCGGGCCTGCCTTCTCGTTCACACCAAATAAATCACCTGCCGGCTGGTGAGAACTCAGACCTGTGCATCTGATTTATTGTCCAGAGATGGCAGTGAGGCAGTGGCGGGGCAGACGGCGCCGACTCCCGCCTGTGGCACGTGAGGGTGTCTGGGCCCTGCTAACTCTCTTCCCTCCTTGGTGGCTCTCCAGAGCCTCTCACGCACACCCTAGGCCTGTGCACGCACACACACTGGCCCTCACATACAGACAACACACACGGAGGCAATAAATAGTTCCGTACCAAACTGCCCCAGCCCAACACTTCAGGTGGGACCCCCTCCAAAAGGAAGGTCTTGTAAGTGCTCAACGTTCTTAGGTGTGGGGAAAGGAGGGAAGAAGCAGACTCTTTCCACAAACCCCTCTGCAGCTGTGGCCACCCTACTGAGTCAGAGCCCAGAATCGGGGTCACCCTACCCTGTGCAAACAACGCGTGGGACAGCCCTCGGCCCAGGGAGGAGCAGAGTGCGGTGCTCAAAGCTAATACTGATGGGCTGGCAGCAGCGAGAGCGGGCTCACAGTGACTGGTTTCCCCAGCACGGGAGGGAGGAGGGCGGCCCCACGCAGGCGGGGGACGGGCCTCAGAGGCACACGTGGATCTGCTTGGAGAGCTCTCGCTCCAGGTCCAGGATCAGGGCATCGAAGTCCTTGAGATTCAGGTGCGGGTTAAAGGGCGCCTCGAATGCGTCGAAGTCGGCGGCGGCCTGGGGTGCCCCCGCCTCGTTGTCGTCGTCGTCATCATCATCATCGTCATCATCATCGCTGTCGCTCCCCGTCACGTGGTCGTAGTCGGGCCCAGTCAGGAAGTCCCGCCCACACGGCAGTAAGTCCCGCCCGCACACGCTCCAGTCACCAGCGTAGCGGTTGCTCGGGGGGCTCTCTGGGCCGCTGCGGCCTCGGGGCCGAGTCACCACTTCAGGGGCCGCTAGTGTTAAGTGCAGTGACTGCTGTCGTTTGGGCCGAAGGCACGGGGCGAGACCCGGGGTTTCCGGGGCCCTGTGGGGATCTACGGCAAAGGGTTTGGTTGATGTCACGTCCAGGCCCGGGTTTCATAGATGGAAGCCACTGGTTGCTTAGGCAACCAAACTGCTTGGCAGGGCCTCTGACCACATCAAATGTGGATTGGCCAACCCGTAAGGAAGGGGCGTGACCCTCCCGAAACCCCACCAATCAGCTGCCCGAAAAAGCCGGGGCGGGAGCGGGGCCGGGCTCACCTGGCCAGGACTGCAGTAGGTAGTGCAACACCTCGATGTGGCGCTTGAAGTCCACTGCGTTGGCGAGGCCTGGGCCCGAGCTTCGCGCGCGGGACCTGCCTGGGGCCTGGCGGGCAGGCAGCAGCACTGGACCGAAGCACACAGCTAGATTTTGCGGGGTCATGCGGTTGTGGGCGTGAAAGGAGGACACGAGACGCAGGTGGTCCAGTAGGAGTGTCAGCGTGGCCTGAGAGGAGAGGGGTGGGAACGCATGATGCAGAGCCGGATCCTTGGGACTGGCGAACGTCAGATGCAAATGTCACATCTGGAAGATGGCTTGGCATGGGCAGACCCATTACCATCCCATTGTGCTGGAGGGGAGACAGCGTTTTGGAATGGCAGAGCCAGGACTTGAACCCATCGCTCTGTATGGCAGGCAGGGCAGACCGCGGTTCCACATTACAGAATTTAGCATGGAGGCAGATAGCGCCAAGGCAGAGTGGCTCCACAGCCCAAGACCTCCCTTCTGATTGGGCACCTTGCTCACTTCAGTATGCCTCAGTTTCCACATCTTCGAGATGGAGATACTAAAAGCAATCCTGCTTTCTAGGGTTGTGTGTAATATTGCCAAAACCATGGCAGGGCCAGGTCTGGATGGATTGCTGTGCTGGCCTCTGCCTTCTGAGTGCCTCCTGCTACCACCAGACCCAACTCACCTTCTCCACATCTGGCAGGCAGCTGAGGAGCTCCCGGGTGCCCTCAGTGCTCTGGGGTGCCCTGCTGGTGGGCCCTTGGGCCATGGCCTCCAGTACCACCTGGTAGAGGGGCTGGGTGATGAGTGGTGTGGGCAGTTCCCTTAGGTAGTCCTTGAGGATGCCTGTGGATACAGGCCCCCTCTGGTCAGAAGGAGGGTGAAGGCCAGGGACAGGGGAGGAGAAGGAGGAGGGCAAGTACAGGAGGGTGAAAGCAAGGCTGGACACGGGGCGGGACCCAGGGATTGACCAGTGATGACGTTGATATCTGGGTACAGGTCCTCAGAGAGGCAGACAGCCGCACTGTCCCGTTCAAACGCGTCCCGAAGCTCTTTCTTCACAGCTGCTGAGCCACATAGGCGGTATAGCCCCACAACCTGCGGGGGCCGCAGAATGGCCTCGTGAGGTGAGTGGAGGTGGGGCCCAGGGTGGCAGTCAGAACTGTGGCCTGAGAGGTGGGAGGATGGCTCTCACCTCAATGCTCCTCTGACATCTGTCATGGGGTCCCTACCTGGCTGCCTATCCTGCCTATCCTGGTACTCACCTCTCTGATTCAAAATGCTGACAGCTGACAGTCAGTCATCTGCCTCTTCCTTCTGGAAGCCTTCCCTGCCTGCCTCAAGGAGATTCTGCTTTAAATGCATTGATCCTTGCATTGACCACTGGTGACTCATAACTGCATGTGTTTTAATTAACACCAACTGCAGCTTGCAGTGCGGGCATCCATCCTCAGCTCATGCAGTGGGGGTGTGACTTTCCTCATCAGATTGGGTTCAGGAGGATGGGGACTCTGGGCTGCTGCCTGAATGGACAGGGAAGGCCATGCACTCTGGGAGTGGCCTGGGTTGGGGCGAGGGGCTCACCCGCAGCCCTCGGTGCTCGATCTGTCCAACACACTTCTGGATGATGAGGGGCACCTGGCCAGGCGGCTGCTCCCTCTCCACCAGCAGCGACAGGGGCAGCCCGAAGACGCGGGGCTCTGCCGAGCCAGGAGCTTCTCGTTGCTCTGAGAGGGTCAGCTTGGCATACAGCAGCCCCTGGGGTTCGAGGCTCACGGCCAGCTGCTGGGCCTGGCAGCCTGAAGACACAGGTGCAGCTGAGTGGGATCCCCCCTCCCCCCCAACTCCAGACCCTTCTGCTCTGCAGCTCCAAGCCATGCCTGCCCAGATCCACATGACCCCAAGCAGGCCACTGCCTCTGAGACTGCTCTAGAGCACGTCTACCCGCACGACCCTCCAAACCACGATCCCAAACGATGTCCCATCCCCCTTGGTCCCCACTGCAAGGCAGGGTGTCCCTGGCGGGACCCTGGGCCCGGAGCCACGGTCCTTGGCTGTGCATCCTACCTCGGAAGACGGTGGGCAGCAGCACCGCGCCTTGGGCGCACGGCCGGTGGCGCCGGACGCCGGGGTCCCACGCCAGCACCAGCGCCCGCAGCAGCCGCGCGGCCTCGAGCTCCAGGTGGAAAGTGTGGTCCAGCCGCAGGAAGTCGGGGCCGGCGCGCAGCGGCCCGGTGCGTGCCCGCGCCACGCCGTCCACCTGCAGCAGGCAGTAGAGGTCCCGCGGGGCGGCCCCCGGCGACGGCCGCAGCCCCCCGAGTCCGCACAGGTGCAGGCTGAGGCGGCCCCAGAGCGCGGCCGGGGGCACCCGCGCGCCCGCCGCGCCCCCCGCGCCCGCCTCGTAGGGCCGGAAGGTGGCGGGCGACGGCGGCCCCGCGGGCCGCTCCGGAGAGTCGCCGTCGCTGAGGTGGCCGGCTCGCGGGGGCGCCACCGCCCGGCCCGGGGTGCCCACGCTGCTGTCCAGGTGGTAGCGGCTGATGACGGAGCCTGCGGGCGCCGCCCGCTCGCGCTCCCGGCCGGCGCGGCTGCTCCGCAGGCTCAGGCGGCGCCGCAGCTCGGGCAGCTTCCTCATCTTCAGGGACAGGCGCCGGGCGGGCCCCGGGGACTTGGTGCGCGACGCCTTGGGGGGCGGGCTGCCGGGGGCGGCACCTGCGGAGGGCACCCGTCAGCGCAGCCCGCGGGCCAGCGCGGCCGCGGGGCGTCTCTGCTCACCTGGTGCGTCCGACGCCGGCTGCGCCGCGGCCCGGGGGTCCTCCTCGGGGATGGGGTTGTACCAGATCTCGCCGGCCGGCTCGCCGTTGCCCGGCAGGCGGGGCCCCGCGGCCACCTCCTCTGGGGGCTTGGCTCCGCTCAGCACCCACCGGCGGCTGCTGGGCTCCAGGCTCTGCAGGTACACGCCGCGGGCCGGGCTCCGGGAGGGCTCGGGGCTGGGCGCCCCGTCTGCTCCCGAGGGGGGCCCTTCAGGCGCCTGGGCTTCTGGCTCCAAGGGGCTGGGCGCGGGGGGCTGGGCAGGCCGGCCTTGGAGGAGAGTGAGGGGATGAGCGTCCAGAGCAGCTGCGGGCCAGTGGCCGCGGCCAGCCGAGAGCCTTGACCCAGGGGTGCGGACGTGCTTCTCCCCTCCTGCCGGCCTTCGGATCGTGGTCATGGCAGCCCCCTAGCAACCCCACGACTGTCCTCCGTGGGGAGTTCTCCGACCCGCCTGGGCCCCTCCCTGGCCAGGGCTGTTTCCTGTGTGCTGGGCCCTGTCTCCTCGACCCCTGCCTTCTGCACTTCCTGTCCCCAGTGGCTCGCTTTTCTCAAGACTGGGCTGCCCCCACCCCCAGCCCTGACCCAGGGTCTCAGCATGATCCAAAGAGCTGAGCCTTCAGCAAACCCTGGAACTCCTCCCTGTGCCTTAGTTTCCCCCATCCTCACCCAGAGGGGGAGTTTCCTGGAGCCGCCTGCCCTGGGAACTCCCCAGCCAGTGGTGAGCAGGTGGGGCTGGGAGGCGGGGGCGACTGGGATACCCTGTCTTGCCTGGAGGAGAGACCCTTGGGGATGGGTGCCTCTGCCTGGCCGCCCCGCGGGGCCTGCAGCGCTGGCCTGGGCCCCATTTCCTGTTGGGCAGGCGAGGCCCCCTCCCTGGCCTCCCAAGGAGCCCGCAGCCTTGGCATCCCCGAGAGCGCACATAACGGTCTGCGCCCCCTCTCCCGAGCTCCTCCCTCTTGGGACCCTTGCCCTCCTCGGGACTCCGCCCGGATCCGCAGGGGCCTTCCCGGGGCGCCCCCCACCCCCCAGCCCCTTCTCCTCGGGTCCTGGGCCGCGGGATCCGGGGCCGGGCCGCGGGGCTCTGTGGCCCCCCTTCTTCCCCTACCGCCCGCTCCCAGCTCACCGCGCTCCTTGGCGTCTGACTTTTTCCGGGGAAGTTTCTCCCGGCCCCGCAGGCGGGAGAAGGTTTTCCTGAGCAGCGGCTCGGCCATGCTGGGGCCCCGCCGCCGGCCCGAGCACCCCGCTGCGCCCCGTGCTCCCCGCCCGCCCGCCCGCCGGCCTGCCGGCCCCCCGCCCCGCGCCCGCAGGAAGCGCATTCCGGGAATGCTTGGCAAAAACTTTTTTTTCTCCCCTTCCCGCGGCCCGAGCAAGCGATGCTGGGAGATGTAGTCGTCTGGGGTGCTGGGCCCGTTCCCAGTTCCCAGTCCCATCGGCGGGGCTCGGCTTGGTGGCAAAGGCTTGGGGCTGGAGAGACCCCCTGCATGTGGGGACTGGAAGCCCCCCCGTCCCTGTAATGGATGCAGGGGACAGCCTGGGCACGCCAGGGCCGACGGTGGCAGCGACAGAGGGTGACCGTCCTGTGGGACAGCTCTGTCCTGGACTCATCACAGCTGCAGAGGGTGGAGCTGAGCTCCCTTTGCTGACCCTGCTCTGCTCTCCACTGGTCACAGACTTTAGGGGAGCTTGGACCGTCCAGAGCTGTGCCGGGCTGCTCTGGTGCCAGTGGCCTGGACTGCCCCCTTGTCGCACTTTGCTCCGGGGTCCTACCCTCAGCACCTGTGCCAGGCTCCTGGGCTTCTCTGCCCAGAAGCTGACAGATGCCCTGCGAACACCTAGCGCCACCTTTTCCTCCTGCTGGTCAACTGCTCCTTGCCCTCCCAGGAGGCCCCCGCCTGCCCCTTCCTCCCCACAACTTCCCTGTTCTGGAGGAATTTCTCCGCTTCCTCCGGGTTGCCTCTGGCTGCTCCATGCCATGGACTGGGACACAGAAACATGCCTGCTGACGTGGTCCCTGTGTGCTCCTTGCAACGATCACCACAGACACCTGAATGGCCCTTTCTCCCTTGCCTGTCCCCTTTGTGGCCTCCCTGTAGGCCACCTGCCCTGGAGCTGTCAGCAGTTTCTGAACTTGCAGGGGTGAGGGCACCACTGGGCGGAGCTGGGCCTTATTAACCACATGCCACTTTGGGTTGCTTTGTTTGTGGATTACAGATGCCACCCTTTTGTCCCAGACAGGGTGTGAGGGACCTCTGAGGTGGCTAAGTCTATCTCCTGTGGAAGATCACACAGGATGGCTCTTTTCAGACAAGCTTCCTGCCATCCAGCCGAGCCATGGATTTGGAAAGTGGAAGCTTTCTCCTGGCTTCCTTCTTGAGGGGATCTTTGTGGAAGTTTGCTGGCTGGATGTTTTGGAATCCCAGTGCCAGGTGGCCAAGTTAGAGGGAGGAAGCCACAGGTCAGAGGGGCAGGAAGGAACACTATTCAGTAAGATGCACATGGCCAGATCCCTTTGTTACTTTCTCAAAGAAAGAAGCACAACTTGCTGTATTTACCTCACCGTTTGAAGATAGGAAGACGTGGAAAGTTGATATTAGTAATATTTCTAATTTGTCTTGGTGACAGCAATACATCTCTGTTTTAATGCGACAGTAAAGCATGAAAGACTGCATTGTGTGACATGCAAAATAATGTAAAATCAGTTTCAGAATCCACAGATAGTTTCTTAGGTGCTGAACTATGCCCATTTCTGCAAGTAGGTCAGTATTGGCTCCAGACTCCCCCACGCTGAGATTCACTTTCTGGCTCTGCAAATTTCTCCCTTGAGGACAACCCTTTGCTGCCTTGCATACACGGTGCCTGACACCCAGGGGCTGGGGCGGCCCAGGCCCTGCCAGCAGGCTCAGAGGTTCCACTGAAGGAGCAGCCGTTCACAGCCCTTGGGACCGGAAGGGCCACTCCTGCCACCTGGTGGCTGTTCTCTGGAGTTGCAGTGCACAGGGTTCTGCTTTGTTTGGTTTTTGTTTTGCTTTTTGTTTTTGCTGTAGTTTTAACACCAGCTGGGCAAGGACCTTTTCACCAATTTTCTACATCCCAAATCTCTGCAGTGTCCATCATCCCCCATTTGTGCCTGAGATACTGAAACTGTAGGTGCAGTGTTTACAATCCCTGGGAGTTGTTAGGATGGACTACCTCACCCCTGCCTGCCCTGACCTGATGCTCTGGATTCGGGAAACTTTCGAGCATCAGGACTGCTTGCCTGCCTCCCCTCCCCTCCTCTCCTCTCCTCTCCACTCCCCTCCCTTCCCCTCTCTCCTTGCCTGCCTTCTCTCCCCTCCCTCCCTCCCTCCCTCCCTCCCTCCCTCCCTCCCTCCCTCTTTCCCTCCCTTCCTCTACTTTTCTGGGGTGGCCACTCCTGGAGGTGCTCAGGACTTACTCCTTAGCTCTGTGCTCTGTGATCATTCCTGTTGAGGCTCTGGAGGCCGTGTGTGGTGCCGAGGATCGGGCCTGGTCTGGGCATGTGTAAGGCAAGCTCCTTCCCACTGTGTTTCCTCTCTGACACCTGGAAAATTGCTTCTCATTTAAGCTGCGAAGCTCTTGGCTTGGTTTCCCCTCCTAATGACATTTCCCCCTTTCTAGAAACTCTCTGGCCTGTCTGGAATGAACAGATGGCATGAGCATGACAATTTGGCAATTTTCTGGACTAGACACTTAGAAGCGCAGTGAAAAATTAGCTTGCTCCCTGGGAGCAGGGCCGCACAGCCTTCTGCTCCATGGCCACTGTGTCCTGAACAGCTGGGCCCACCAGCCATCTGCCTTAGGCCTGAGCTGGGGCCACTTTGCCCACGAGCTTCCTCAGAGCCGCCTTCATGTCCCTGTTCCTCAGGCTGTAGATGAAGGGGTTGAGGAAGGGGATGATCACTCCGTACATCAGGGCGGCGCCCTTGTCCTTCTGGGAGGAGGAGGCAGATACCGGCAGCAGGTACACAGCGAAGATGGTGCCATAGAACAGAGACACCACGGTGAGGTGGGAGCCACATGTGGAGAAGGCTTTCCATTTGCCCTGAGCAGACGGGATCTTGAAGACAGTGTGGAAGATGCAGACGTAAGAGAAGACCGTGATCACAAGAGGGCTGAAGCCCATGATGATGCTGAAGGCAAAGACCACCAGCTCGTTAAGGCGCGTGTCTGAGCAGGAGAGTTTCAGCAGGGGCATGAGGTCGCAGAAGAAATGGGGGATCTCGGCACCGGCACAGAAGGTCAGCCGAGCCATAAGCGTGGTGTGGACGATGGACTGGATGTTGGGGATCATCCATGAGACCCCCACGAGCAGCCCACAGACGCGGGGGCTCATGATAGCAGAGTAGCGCAGAGGGTAGACAATGGCTACAAACCGATCGATGGCCATCACGGCCAGGAGGAAGGTGTCCAGTGGCCCGAGCAGATGGAAGGTGTACATCTGGGCAAGGCAGCCTATGAAAGGGATGGTCTGGCTGTGGGTGTGGAGGTCCACCAGCATCTTGGGGACGGTGGTGGACGAGAACAGGACATCGACGAGGGACAGGTTGCACAGGAAAAAGTACGTGGGCGTGTGCAGGTGGGCATCTGTGAGGATGGCCAGGGTGATGAGCAGGTTCCCGGCCACGGTGACCATGTACATGGGCAGGAACACCCAGAACAGGAGGGTCTGCTGAGCCGGCTCTGCCGAGAGCCCCAGCAGGATAAACGCGGAGACCCTGGTCTGGTTTCCCGGCTCCATGGGCAGCCTGTGTCTGCTGGAGAGAGAGGTGGGATCTCTGATCTCTGGGAGCTGGAGGGGGGTGCAGCCCCAGCACCCCGAGCTCCGTGTGGCTCTGTGGTGGTGCTTGCAGTCCTTGCATTAGAGCCCCTTGTGGCTGGCCACCAGGTGGGGAGGGAAGAGGCTGACAGGGCCAGTCCAGCGTGGCTGCAGAGAAGGGCCGGCTGAGGGGTGGGCGGGGTGGGGGGGGAGGCTCTGGAGAAGGAGCCTGGGGGTCTGAGGCTACTCCTGGAAGGGACATGGGCTCTCTGTCCTGGCTATTTAGAAGGGCCTCTGGGGGGGGGTCTCCTGAGCCTTTATAAGCTGCGCATTTTAGGGGATGATGGGGCGCTCCTGCTTGGTCTGCATGTGGGACTTGGGGAGTGTCTGTGGCCAGCATTTACTGGCCAGGACCACTCCCAGGTAGCAGCTGCCTTCCCTGCGGGGGCAGCTGGCCCTCCCCCTCTCCTGGACAGAGGGCTGGCCCTTCCCTCTCCTGGACAGGGGGCTGGCCCTTCCCATCCCCTGGACGGAGGGCTGGCCCTTCCCTCTCCTGGACAGGGGGCTGGCTCTTCCCCTCCCCTCGACAGGGGCTGGCACTTCCCCCCTCCTGGACAGGGGGCTGACCCTTCCCCTCCCCTGGACAGAGGGCTGGCCCTTTCCTCTCCTGGACAGGGGGCTGGCCCTTCCCCTCTCCTGGATAGGGAGCTGGTCCTTCCCCTCTTCCAGGAGGAGAGTGTGCATTTCACAGAGGACATAGGCAGTACCTCGGCACGCACAGTTCATGAGTCAAATCCTTGCCAATCCTCATCGTTCCAACAGTTTCCCTTCACGGGTCCCATTTCTTACCTGGTTGAGCCCCATGTCTTGTAGCCAGTTGCTGACAAGAACCTATCAGTGGGGTCTTGGGGGATATTTGTGAGTTCAGGCAGTTCATCTCTGCTCTGTGTGGGACTTACCACAATGACCCAGAAGAGATCTCCTTGGGCACAGCTGTCGAGAAGAGACTCAGGTGCTCAGCTGGCAAACACCCCTTCTGTCCTCTGCTCAAGACCTCCTGCCTCCCCTCCCTGGCTGCCTCTCTGAGCATGGCTGCTCATGCCTAGGACATCAGAGGAGGCTTTTTGGGACAGAACTCTGCCAGCCCCTCGCTCTGGGAGGCAGACACTCCGGTCTGGCGCCCCACCTTCCAGTGGGCACCAGCTTGAAGAATCACCTGAAGCTTGTGGGTGTGAGGTCAGGGAGTCCTGTGAGAACTTAGCAGAGATGGTCCCAGAAAGATGTGGTGGCCTTGGAGGGTGCCCAGATAAGAGAGAGAGAGAGAGAGAGAGAGAGAGAGAGAGAGAGAGAGAGAGAGAGAGAAAGAGAGAGAGAGATGGGGAGAGAGATGGGGAGAGAGACAGTGAAGAGGAATGGAGAGAGAAGGTGAGACAAGGGGGCAAGAGAAGGGAGAGAGAGCGACAGCAGAAGGAGAGGAAGGAGGAGCAAGGGTGAGGAGGAGAAG